ATCCTTGAGTCCAAATGAATATTTGTAACAAATGTGAATAAAATTTTCTCAAGGATGATCCTGTCTGTCGCTGGCATGGAGGAAAACAACGATCCTACTGTTTTTAAGTTGTAGGATTGCGTGAACATCAACCTGTGATTTCTGCATGATGACGATGATGATGATGATGATGATGATAATGACAGTATCCTGGTTCCTGGAGCACCGACTTACCTGAATGGGGAAGATTCCAGGTAGGATGGGACACGTGATACCTATCGCCCTGCAGTCATCCAGAAACTTGAGGAAAGTGTCCGCCCTGAAGAACAGCTGTGTGATGACAAAGTCTGCTCCAGCATCCACCTTATCTTTTAGGTGTCTCAGATCCTGCTCATAGCTCTCTGCCTCAGGGTGACCTGTGGGGTAGCCTGAATAGACCAGCGCATTTAAATCACTGAACAACACAACATTACAAGCAAAACGCCACTTAAACTGTCTGCTACTGATCTGGAGGCTGAAAACATACCAGCTACGCAGATGTCAAAGTAGTCATCAAACTCAGATCGGATATGTTTAACAAGGTCGATGGCGTAGTTGAAGCCTCCCTCCTCTTCCTCCCAGTCTACCCCCACTGGATCTGCAGAGACATCACAATACCACAGTTCAGCTGGCAGCCAGATGTTATGAGGATTTCTACAACTACAGAAATCCAGAGTGATGTGGAATCACTCACGATACCTGAGACCGAGCACTTTGTTTAGTTCAGCTGTCAAAATACACAAACAGAGTAAAACTGAAAAGTGCATTAAAGAAATCAAAGAGCAGCCAATAGATTCAACTCATGAAATTATTTGTAAAATTATTGTACTTAAACTTTATATTTTACCTATCTCAATATATCAACACTTTACTCTCATAACATTTATTCTCGAAATCTCATTTCCTCCCTGAAAAGGTAGAACTACCTGTCAGAAACAGAACTGCACTGAGTTAAAAAACAAAAGTTTGTGTTGGTCTCTTTAAGCAACATTTTGCAGGTACATCACACCAAGTGACTAACATGAAAAACACAAGAAGAACACACATTACCAGGCCAGGTACATACTGTACCTCCATCATATGTGCTGCCTTTCAGTAGCAGGTTTCCACTTAACACACTCCAGACAAAGCTAATGTTCCTGTCCAGTTGACTGAGGAACTATTCTGTCATGACATGCAACTGAAAAACTATGGAGCAAACAATTCCCTGTTCCCTCTAATTAAGAATGTAAACAAATGTCACTACTAGTATCAGAAATGCCTCAGATTTGGCCTAAAACACGGTATCAGATATTGGCAAGTACACAAGTACACAAACAACCGTTAGTGATACCACATAATCTATGAATAAACTTCACAGTTTCACACTCAGTGAAAAACTTTGTAAAACAGCAGTTTTCCTGAAAATCAATTCTTCTTCACTGCTCTAAACAGGAAGTTACGCTGTGCAGCCACTCACAACTACAGTTTTGAAGAATTGACTTCCGGTAAAGAGCGTAATATTAGCCGTTTACAGCTGTTACATTTGGTACAATGGTATCAGATCAGTAGTCTTTATTGGCCGATACAAGTTCAGAATCGGGAAGGAAAATATGGTCAGCCTCAGTCTCCTACCTCCTCTGAGCGCCATAATGTTCTTGAGGCCCAGGTGCTTTGCCTTTGCCAGGTAGCCAGTAATCTTGTCTTTGGTCTGGTTGCAGCAGGTCAGGTGGAGGATGCTCTCGAGGCCACAATAGTTGACCGCTGTGCTGGCAATCATCATAGATGAGGTTTCCTTGTCTGAGCCCGGGTCCCCTGCTGGGTGCCAGGTAATGTCGATGAACAGGGGCCCTCCGGAGCCCATGCGGTCAAATCTGTAGAACAGTGACATGCACAAAAGAAATGGTCAGACTGCTGTTTGGTTACAATACAGACGATTCCTGAGTGGTTAGTGACACTGTTGATCTTAGTACTTTTAGTCAGCTTCTTTTCTATGAGTTCAGCTAAATGAAAATGGGTTACTGTAACATTAGAGCAAACCAATCTCTCTGAAGTTTTGCTGCAGGGATTACAAAAAGCCTCTTGGAGCTACTGGTTTACCATTCCTGGACCAGGCTGCCAGAGGATAAAGAGCTTGTGCAAAGTTACAACTTTTCTTTCTTTAACCCTGTCCTTGTGTCCCACTTTAGTACAGGCATTGTTGATTCTACACACATCATATTTCCTGTATAAAGTTCAGGCCCGGTTTGATTTCACATACCTTGAGATGAGATTGACAGCTCCACTGGCTGTGCGTGGAGGAAAGAACTCCAGCGAGAACCAGCGGTCTCCGGACTCCATCCTCCTCCGCATCTTGTCCCGCAGCCTGTCTGACCGGTCTGCATCCAGCACCGGCGTGGAACACCGGGAACTCTCCTTGGAGCTCTCCCCGCCACTGTTACTGGCCCCACTGGAGTCGCTCTTGCAGGACTGCCAACTACCTTCCCCTCGCTGCACCTGGTTCACCATGATGGTAAATTACACTGAGAAGAGAAGGAGACACAAAACAGATCAATCTGACTCTGCCCAGTCAGTGTTTGGAGATATCCAGCTGTACTTTGACAGCAACGGGAGCAGACATTACAACACACCCTACACAAAATTTGGTCTTTTATTGTTTCTTTTTTGATAATGTACAACCTCACAGATTATGAATAAACAATATACAGTTGGTTCAAATCAAAGTTACATGTTTAAAGTTCAACAGAAAACCACAAAAGCAAAAATAAAGTGGCTGATTTGTGATAAAGTTATGTCCCAAACACAGAAGCCCCTTTTACACACACAGATTCCGCTATATTACCGTTGGGAAGACCTGTCTTTACTCTGCCTTTGCTTGTTTACACTGAACCAAACAAGCCGGCACATTGCCGATTTAAATGCTGAACAATGAAGCCCCGCCCCCCTGTTCGTCCCTATTACACAAAACAAGGAGACGGAATAAAGCCGCAATATTCTCGCATTTAACAGGCAGTGTAAAAGGGACCAGAGAGACACCCCGGTGTCCCTGTCTCTGTTGGCTGAGTACAGTTAGCTACGTGCGCACGAGCCCGTTAGCCCGTTAAACGAAAGGACAAACACAGTTAGCTCCCAACACACCGAGCTTCAATAAACCCAGCTACATGCAGCGGGAAAACAAAGCACACACCGCTTCTCCCACCTGCTCCGGTCGGTTCTCCTTGTGCGGCAGGTAACCCAGACTACGTCCATCCAAGACTAGACATCAACTGCCACAACGTGGGAAACTTTGGGGGGAGGAAAAGGCCCCGCTATTAAGGGAAGTTAGTTTCAAATTCGACAGTTAAGGGAAACTTTAAAGGGAAGTTTACCTTAAGGTGCTGCGCTCCTCTCTTTGAAAACATGTGACATTTAAGGTAAAACTTTAACGCTGTCTGACATCCACTCTCGGATTTGAGAAACTTTTGTTTTTATATGTGAAAATAAAATAAAATATAGAACAGAAAGTCTGTTCATGGATATCAGTGCTGTTGGTATCTCTGACAGCATCACACCTAGGATGCGTTTGATCCTGTCAGAAGACACCATGGTCACAGCTGTGGAGGAAGTCTGACAGGTATTTAATGGTCCTGTTTAGCTGGGTGTCATCATCAAAATGCAAGAACCACTGCTCCTCAAGAATAAAATGTGGCTGCTTCTCACCAGAGGCAGAGGCATGAGAAGGCGTGAAGTATGTTCTTACATTTCCACAAATGCATTAAAGGTTCAAACAAATCTGACACTGTGTCTGTAAGAGTCTCTGGTCTCTCTGGGATGATATAGTCCAGGTTTAACAATTCTAGGAGTAGTGGTTTTTAATCTGGACCTGGTGTGGTGTGGTCTGGATGAAATGTCCCTTTTTGTATTTTCACAAATAAAATAAAAGCTTTGCAAGTATAGACGAGGATTTCAGACAGTCTTAAAGCTTTACCTTACATGTCTAACACGTGTTCACAACAGGTGCAAAAAAACTGTGTGAAGTAAGTTTCCCTGAACTTTCTCCTTAATTTCCGAATTGGAAGCTGACTTCAGCGTCGCGGTGGGCGTCAGCGATGAGGTGCTGCATTCAAGTCATATCGGGAACCCGACAGTTTAGACACAACAGAACAGAGCAGCAGGTAGTTCAATCCTCGTGTGGGTTTCTTAAGGAGTTGTAAAGCTGATTTTTATTTTGACCCTGAATCAGAACTTCTAATTAACTTTTTACGATTTCACAAATACAATTGAGTAATCCCAAAAACTAATAAAACAAAACATACTTGTTTAATTGCTTTGTGCTTGTTAATTTTGTTGAATTTAGTTGACATTCATACACAGTCTTGTCAGATGTCATAATAAGTGTTAAATGCTAACAGCAAACAAATGTTTATTATCTGAAGATTGAAAGTGAACAATAGAGTAATAGACTAATAGAGTTTTCCCTACTGTCCGAAAACGCAGCCTAAAGTACAACAGTCCTGTCGAAGCCCGTGGTCAGAGCCTTGTGTTTAGGTTGATCAGGACTGCCCACTATTATAATTATATATGACGTAAAATCAATAATAGCAAATCTAACAGCTTTCCTCACAACATGATAAATTTCCACTTGGTAATGTTTCATTCTCTGCTGATGCATCAATTTAAAGTGTGCATGATGCTTTTATTTTAAAATACAGCCTTGTGCGTAAATTCACGCAGTTTTGATGGTTCGATGGAAAACCTTCCGCTTTTGGCGTCACGTGAGGAGGAGATGCTCGTGTTGCTTTTAAGTCTCATGGGAAATATGATAACATTTTTCTGTATCTTAAATGTTATGAACAGATATTTGAAATCGCTTTTTTAGGACGTACTTACAGCGTGGACCTCTCGTTTGCTGTAAAACAGGACGATGTTCTACCTACTAATGTTTTTTTTTCAGGTTGTTCCAGAGGTTTTGGTCTTTCTAAAGTTGATGGTTTTCCCACAAGCTCTGAACGCAGCATGACACAACAACGAAGATGGCGTGTTGTGGAAACTGTTTTTGTTGCCAATGTTGCTGCAGAGAAGGAGAGACACGGACACCAGAGGAACTGGTAAGGAATTATGTAATTATTAGTCATTGCAGGGCTCTATTAATTATTTCATTATGATTTTATAATAATTTTTTTCCCTCAAAATTTCTCCAGTTTTCCTCAGTGCTGTATATCCTGGCTCTCTTACTCCACCCTGCTTAAGTGACTGTGTTCCGTTGTCTTGTAGCGTTTCCAATCAAAGCGCAGTGACCCTCAATCCATTCACCATGCTCAACAACAACTGGGCTGAAACGGGCAATAAGTGTCCTCACAGTGTGAGCTACACGCAGGGAATACAACTCGCTGTTTTCCCCTGTGCTTATGAAGACGAGGCCCTTGGACCAAACTCCGTTTACAAATATGTCAGTTTAGGGGCTCCTTCCTTTATATTCCGTTATTAGAAAACTTTCCTCCATCTGCTGTTTCTAGCAAATTGATGTTTTGCTCCCTTCACCAACAACTTTTATATTCAGTCCCCCCGTTGTAACAGTATACCAATCATCTTCCAACTCAATGTAGGTTTTGATGAATTCCAGCGTTTGCTGGGAGAATGTCAAAATATCGAATTTACCCCCATAAAATATCATGTCTCTCTGTCTGGCATGTTCTTCTAACCACACAAGAAGTTGACATACACCGGCATAACTTTCTTATTACTGGTAAAACTCAGCTGTTGTTGTTGTTGTCCCATGTAGCAAAGTCCTTTGTTTTCTTCCAGCCCAGTATACACTCAGTTCTACGGCCAGAATCTGGCCCATATACAGCATGACTGTCAGATGCTACTTCCACAATCTTGTGTCTGAGGACAACAGGCAGAATCTACCTAGATGTGGAAGTACATGGGCCAGATTCAGGCCAAGGACCCAGGCATATGTTGGGCCAGAAGTTTAATTTTGCTCTCTTGGATTCAGCCAGTAGCACCAGCATCGAAAAGTGGCTGATGGTATAGTGGTTCTGGTCACTCTAAGGATTTGTAGTTGTCTTAATTTCAGGTAAAGGGTCCTTACTGTGCCGGACATGTCTGTATTCTGACTCTACCTGTACTCTAACAGGCTTTGCTATTGGTTAACCCCTTTGAGGCTCTGCCTGGTCACCCTGAGACAAATCTTTGTGTCATTACTCAGTCAGGGTGTAGCAACCGCACACCACAATCCCTTATAAAACTCCAATGCATACGCTGCCCATCTCCCTTTTTCACCTGGCGATGAAGTTCTGCCACCCTGCAATGATGTAGCGTGTTAACATCCTACAAGCAAAAGAACAGGCAAGAGAGGGGATTTACAAGCCTGTTAGATGGTGACACACTCACACATATAACTGTAGTTACGTCCAGTAACTACTATTTATATAATAATGTGCGTATATTGTTTCCCCCCAGACAATCCTTGGGGAACTCCGGGATGAAGAAGATGAGATTCTACCGAGGAAAGACTATGAGGTGAAAAAACTTGTGGAAAACCATCATTAGGAGAAAGATGTCCAGCCAGTGTTGGTAGATTCATGTGTGACCCAGGTAATAGTTACACAGTCTTTGTTTTGGCTTCAACAGAGTTTGGATTATGACCGCTGCATCAATGAACCCTATGTGGAGGTTCTGGAGGGGATGGACAACAGGGTAAGACAAGTGTCTTCTGTTGAGTAATTGCTCAGATGTAGATAACGCACTGTATAAGAGCATGCAGATGGGATTACATTTGTGCCTTGTTGCCTTATCTAAATTCCAGCAGGAGGAATTTTACATATTTAAAAAACAAAACTGTGAAGGATTGTTTTCCAAAGAACCTATTGAGGCTCAGTGTGCCGTATAATGTACTACGATATTTCTATAGCTATTGTCATGGGTAGAAATTTTTTTAAAAGAATCAACTCAGCTCCTCTTAGTATTAAACTTGGTGTTCCATAAGGATCAAGTTTGGGGCCACTTTTGTTCTTAAACTGCATAATTGATCTTGTCTAATTTTGTAAACTGTCTTCTAATGTTTGTTTTGCAGACAACACTAGTCTCTGTTATTCTTACAGAAACCTCAGAAACCTTACTGCCATTCTGAAACTAAATCACATAGAGTATCTTAATGTGTGCTGTGTGATCAGTTCAGAAAACTCTTTGAGGAAAGAAAGACTCACAGGTTTAAATGGTTTAATTCTTAGTTTGAGATGTTGTATGTCAAATGTTTTTATATCTCCAATAGAAAGCCAAAAAGTATGAAGCAGTGCGGTGGATCATGGTGTTCACCATTGGAGTAACAGTGGGTCTGGTAAGTGTATTTGGAATATTTAGGTTTTCTTTACTAGACTCCAACATGTTCCAAAACACCAGAGAACGTTACCTTCATGTCTCTTTCAGGTGGGTCTGTTTGTGGATTTCTTTGTGCGCCTCTTCACCAAAGTCAAGTTTACTCTGGTCGGTGATTGTATCCTTTAACAGGTCTGAATTCACTAGTTAATTTATCAGGTATTTGTTATATCTAAGCCACAGTCAAAGTCTATCTTTGTGAAACCGGCCCCAGGTGATTATAACCAGTAAAAAGGCTGAATAAAGCAGTTTCACGTTTAAACTCAGTGTTTCACCAACACTGTTTAGCGGACCCAGGACGTCTTCAAGGAAGGAGCTTAGTTACCAACTAAGTTTTTTAATCTTATAACTTCAGATCCAGATAAAACTCAATGTTGAGCTTCTGTCAACACTTCTTTTCAGACAACCACAACACTCATGCATGCACATAGAGGATATGACGTCATTGACGGGCGACCACATGAAATGGAGCGTTACACTGATTAAAATCACTGATTTGTAACTGCTGTTGTGTTGTTACAGTAACATAACTGTGACAACAGAAAAGCTGGTCACAGCTGGATTGCTCGTCTCAGTGTTTTCTTCTACCTTATCTGAACGCCATCAGCTGTGGAGAAGTGCACTGAAAAAGGCTGCTTACCTCTGTCTCTGCTGGAGCTCCTGGCATTCAACATGACCTTCGTCTTCATCGCCAGTGTGTTCGTCCTCATTGAGGTAAGACAGCTCAGACACAGGAGAATACACGACTCAGTGGAATCATGTGAGGATGCTAACATGCTGTCTTCTGGTGCCCTGTTCTCCAGCCAGTAGCTGCAGGTTCGGGGATCCCAGAAATTAAAAGTTACTTGAACGGCGTGAAAATTCCTGGAATTGTGCGCTTGCGAACTTTTCTGTGCAAGGCAGCTGGAGTTCTGTTCAGTGTGGCCGGAGGTAAAGTATGACAGAGGGTTGTGTACAATAAACATGTTTGCATTGAAGTGGTTGTAGAAACAAAGTAAGGTTTGTGGCACAACTTCACCTACTTCCAAGGTGCAGGGAGAAAGGAAGAAGCCCAAAGAGGTCAAAACATCTTCAACTGTTGCTGGAGTTTTGCCCTCTTTGCACCAAAGAGGTTGACATTTTTATTTAAAATCACAGTCTGATTCCCTGGAAAAGACATGATGCAAAAATTATATTCAACTAGATAAATGTTTTTTCATAAATTCTTGTGCAATCAGATCAGAGATTAAGTAGTGTGGTTCTGAATATACAAAGGTACTGGAAAGATGATTTAGGAAAAGCAGTGTTGGAAAGTAGCTGATCACACAGCCATAATTTGTGTCATGTACTGGTGATGAGTCAGGGTGGACAGTGCCTCTGACTTGGTGTGTGTCTCCTCAGGTCTGTTTGTGGGGAAAGAAGGTCCGATGATACACAGTGGAGCCATTGTGGGAGCTGGCCTTCCTCAGGTACAATGCAACACATCTTCGAACACAACATCAACAATCAGGGACAGAGACTGAGTATGACACATCCTAAATTTTAGCTGAAGCTAACACGAAGCTTTGTGTTACTGTCCCAACACAAAGACTGAACTAAGACTGCCGCAGCCTCGTATTGACGTCAGATACGTTTTGGAATGACGCTTTAGAGGCATGTTAGGAAAGGAACCTGTTAATGTTCAGTCTGGACGGGAGGCTTGATAACTGTTTCAGTGTTCATGTTCATTCACCCGACAGCAGATAAAAAAAAATGTGTCACTGTTCTTTAAGACCTCAGGATGCTTAAAATGGAGTGCTTCGAAACCGAACTGAATTAGGAGGGGTTGCGGTCAATAATTTGATCACGCCCACCTTACCATGTAAAAGTAAGATAACCTCAACCCTGTCCTGTCACTGACACGTCGACTCTTATCGTGGCTTAATGATGCCAATCATTTGTTTTCTCCCTGTATCAGTTTCAGAGCATCACTTTCAGGAGGATCAAATTTGATTTTCCCTATTTCCGCAGTGACAGGTATGACAAACCGCCACACACTGTTCACTGCTTCCTTAGATGTCAAAATATGCTGCAAATGTATTGTCAACCATATGTCACTGTGTTGTCTTTACTGTTTAGGGACAAGCGAGACTTTGTGTCAGCGGGCGCTGCTGCTGGAGTAGCTGCTGCTTTTGGTGCTCCTATAGGTGGCACCCTCTTCAGTCTGGAGGAGGGCTCCTCTTTTTGGAACCAGGCTCTCACTTGGAAAGTGGTACGTAACCTTTTCCAGTGAACAACCAGCGAGTCGAGTTTTCAGCCATGCTCATTTGGTGATCTTCTGCCATTTTATGTAGCAAGAGTTGGGATTTTGATTGATTGGTTGATTTGTAGCCATATTATGATTGATTGGTTGACTTGTAGCTCTATTATGATTGGTAGGTCAATTCTGTAGCTGTATTCTGATTGGTTTGATTTGTAGCTCTATTCCTATTGGTTATTTGGTAGCTGTAATGTGATTGGTTGGTTTATTTGTAGCTGTATTCTGATTGGTTTCCTTGTTCGTTGTTGTTGTTTTTTTTGTTTTTTTTGTGGTTTTGTCTGAAATATCAACCCTACTGCCTCAGTCTGTCAGTGGGCTTTGTTATAACATTATGGCATGAAGCACTAACCACTGAGTATGATAAACCATTCTCCTTTCTCAGCTCTTCTGTTCCATGTCGGCCACTTTCACCCTCAACTTCTTCCGTTCAGGGATCAACTTCAACAAGTGGGGCTCCTTCCAGCTGCCTGGTCTGCTCAACTTTGGAGAGTTTAAGGTAAAGAGTCAAGAGTGCTCGTTTGTCCCAAGGTGTCCCCCAGTGTTCAGTGCTTGATCCTCTCCTGTTCATTTGCTTCATGCTCTCCCTTGGTAACATCATCTGCTGATTCCACTTCTACTGCTACGATGATGATGTCGAACTCTTCATCTCCACTTTGCTCCACATCATCACTGACCGACTGCCTCCCTGACATTATATCATGGATGCAAATAGACTTTGTACAATATTTGATAACATGGAATATTGTGATATATCTCACCATATGCAGTATTTTTCCTAAAATCAAAAAAACAATACATATATACTTGGACATTGTACCTGGCACGTGACATATGAAACTTTGAACTGCTGTTCAGTGGCAGCATTGCTTATACCTGAAACATAAAAGACAATGATATACAGTAGTTATGTATTATAAATAAATACCTGAAACATGAAATACAAAAATATAATTATATATTTTACATAAACGTATTATATACAATATACTATAATAAACAAAATGTATCAGTTTAACCCTGCTGCAAAACTCCTTGCTCATCAGTGTCAAGATGGAGACAAGAACTGCCACCTGTGGACAGTTGTGGACCTGGCCTTCTTTGTCCTGATGGGGGTGGTGGGCGGCCTGCTGGGGGCGCTCTTCAACTGCATGAACAAGTGCCTGGCCAAGTACCGCATCAGACACATCCACCCCAAGGCCAAGTTTATCAGGTGATTGCTGCCTCACCTGTTCACGCAGGGCACATCGCACGTGTTGATCAAAGTTAGAAACTGCCTTTTGATACAGAAGTTGATCTGATATTTGCACTTTTCCAGAGTTCTTGAGAGTCTGCTGGTTACCATGGTGACGACAGTGGTGATATTCGCTGCTTCCATGCTGTTGGGCGAATGCCGTGACCTGTCCTCCCCCACAACTCATAACTCAACAGTAAGGCCACTCTTATATAATCTACTCCTCTGAGTCAGTGGACTGACGCTCACAATCAGACTCTGCATTCAGCTTCATGTGTTTATTATCTGAAATTGAAATGCAAGGGTTTTTTTTTTGTTTTTTATTTCAGCTGTCCGGCAGTGAGGACATCAATTCAACCATCCGCCAGTTCTTCTGCTCCAACAAGACCTACAATGACATGGCCACGTTGTTCTTCAATCCACAGGAGGCTGCCATCCACCAGCTCTTCCACCAGGATGGTGAGATGAGCGCACACACATTCACCACAGCTCGGCTAAATCATATCACTCTGAAATTATGTGGCATTTAAGGACATAGTTTAATTTTCATTAATGTTTTTTTTTTAATTCTGTCTGTAGTTTTATTGGTGGGTCCAAGCAGCAATGGTGTTGAACCCTTTTGTTTTGGCTGGGATTGTTAATGTTATTGTCATTAGTACAAGGAGGCAATAAGTAAAACTCGTTTTTCTGGGGAGAAGAACTACGTTGCGCAGCGATCTGCTGCTGTGACCCAGCCTCAAGTGAGCGGCAGAAATGGATGCATTTGAGGTCCAGCCCGAGCTGATGATTGAAACAAGCTGATGATGTTTCAAATTTGTTTTTATTTGATAGTTATTATACAAATGTAATTAATTTAGTAAAACATCACTCAGTTTCCCATGGTCCCTTGCTGCCATCTGTCCTAGTGAGTGTAGACCGCAAAACACAGCAGAAAGCAGCATGACACCAGGGAATCATCTGACACAAATGACACATACTCCGCCCCTCCTCCCCCTCCCCCTTCCTCTCAGGTACCTTCAGCCCTGTGACGCTGTCAGTGTTCTTCCTTCTGTACTTCCTGTTGGCCTGTTGGACCTACGGTGTGTCTGTGCCCAGCGGCCTCTTCGTCCCCTCCTTGCTCTGTGGGGCGGCTTTTGGACGTCTGGTAGCCAACATTCTCAAAGTGTAAGAACGATGTTCTCCTAATGTTCTCCTAATGTTCTCCTAATGTTCTCCTAATGTTCTCCTAATGTTCTAATGACCAAGATTTGCCTGATTCTAATTCTCAGTGGCCACAAAATATCACAAATATCAAAACCAGTCAGAACTTTGTTCATTATAGCAAATTATCTCACAAATGATCTACGTCAGTAAGTGAATGTCACAGAATTTAAAAAGGAACTTTTTAAGAGTCAAATGTTTTTTCTACAACATTTCACTCATAACTTTAATTTAATGGTGTCAGTGAGTTCAGTGTGCTAAAAACTAACCTGCAATGTCAGAGTGGCAATTAGAAGAACTGGGACGTTTCCTGATGAGTCACTTCATGAACTGGGCCGGTGGTTCATTGTATGAAAAATAAAACATCAGAGAGAGAAAGAGGGAGAGAAAGAGGGAGAGAGATAGATGTGGCCGTGTTGAGGTGAAAAAGAAACTGTGTCTGAAAATCAGATTCAGCTCCCAGTGAGTCCAGTATAAACACCAGTTCAGTCTTACAGCATAAGCAGTCGGCAGCAGACAACAGGAAGCTTGTCTGAGTTTATTTGGCAGGATAATGTTATAGCTTTGTTTTTGATCAGCAGTTTCCACTGGAGTTCAGTATATTGGGAATATTAGAGACCAACTCTTTACTCCTGCCTCCAGTCTGATCACCGCCTGACCCCAGCTCTGTGCCACACACACACACACATGAGAAACACAGACATGAAGAAAGTGAATGAGCACATTTCCCATAAAATTACTACAAAGGTTCATGTTTGAAAAACGACTGCAACAATGAAAAATAATCAATGACGGGTCTGAGCTTGGTAACACTGCTGCTGGTTGTGCAGATCCACAGCTCATGTGGTGGAATCAGCTGATTGGATGAGTTTCTCCTTTTCGGTCAGTCACAAGCAGCCTCAGCTGACAGTCGTCACTTTCTAACTGAGGAAGCCTGTTGTCTCAAGTCTTGATGCACTTCACCACACACATTCCCCCCGTACAGCCCCCCACAGCTGTTTCTCACCTCACCCTCCTCATCACACATCGATTTCCCACTGACACTGGTTCTCACTGTGTCCGTCCTCTGGTAGGAAACTGGGGATGGACATCTACTCGGGGACCTTCGCTCTCATCGGCGCCGCCGCCTTCCTCGGAGGTGTGGTCAGAATGACCATCAGCCTGACTGTCATCCTCATTGAGTCCACCAATGAGATCACATACGGGCTGCCCATCATGATCACTCTGATGGTAAACTGTCATGTTGTGTATTTCAGCCACTGTGCTATATTTTTAAGTCAATAGGATTTTATTATTTTTTTTGTCTCCCATGAGTCAGAGACATGAATAGATGTGTTGATGAGGTCAGTAGTGTGTCTGCTACTGTGATGTATTTCCTTGTGGGTTCATGTGGTAAATGGTTTTGTGTCGATCGTCAGGTTGCTAAGTGGACTGGAGATTTCTTCAACAAGGGCATCTATGACATCCACATCGAGCTGAGAGGAGTGCCGCTGCTGGAGTGGGAGACTGAGGTCGAGATGGACAAGTAAGATTTGTTGTTTAACAAACAAACAACTAAAGCTTCTGTGTTTCTGTGCCGGCTTGTTTTCCTGAGGCACACTGATGTTTTGTCCTCACCTGTTCTTTTATTTTGGTAACTTTCTGCTTGCTCAGAAAGCAGCATGTTCAGCAAATCTGATTTCTGAAATGTTTTGGTCACTAGTTACTGAAGCTCTTCATTCATGTTTTGCTGGTCTGCTCTTGTCTTTATTTGTTTACAGTAGTTATTTCTCAGAAAAGCACAGGAGGAAATAACTTTCTGATAGCTACAGTTTACTGTATATATACTGTCTTCATGATATCTGTGTGTATCATTTCCCTCGTCTCTCTAAGGCTGACGGCCAGTGACATCATGGAGCCCAACTTGACCTACGTGTACCCCCACACCCGGGTCCAGTCTCTAGTCAGCATCCTGCGCACCACTGTCTACCACGCCTTCCCCGTGGTCACTGAAAACCGGCAGAACGAGCGAGACTTCATGAAGGGCAACATCCTGGTCAGCAACAACATCCGCTTCAAGGTATGTCCTGCACCACTAACTGCCTCGTATCTGAAAGAGAAGAGGGGGCGTTTCAGTGGACAGCACTGATCCTGCCACCCTGACAACGATGTGCACTGTGGTGCTTAATCATGAAAATACAAATTCTGCCTAAAGTCCAGCTATTAGTTCAATCCTTTCCTCCTTGTCTTCTTACTCCTTCTTTCTTGTGATGTTTTTCCTCTTTTGTCTTCTTTCTTTGTGAAAATGTCTCAGTTTTACAGTTTAAACTTTCATGACTCGTTTGTAGAGGTGCTTTCAGAGGAGTAACCAGCCAGTAGGTGGAGGTAGAGGCCTGTGCTCTCTGCTCTGCTCTGATCACTGACTTTTCTACTTTTGATCTGTATCTTCATGTGATGAAGCAGCACAGCGGTTGAATCTTAGGATGTGTCAGTTAGTGAATGTGCTGATTTTGATTTAAGAGCTTCTTTGTCATTTCACTGCTCTGGTTTGTAGGTGTTAGAAACATATGCACCACCACAGGAAACTGATTAATCAGTGTAAACTTTACTCTTCACTGTTGCATGTAGAAATCCACTGTTGTGTCTCGCGCGGGGGAACAGCGGCGGCGCTGCCAGTCCATGAAATCGTACCCGTCCAGCGAGCTGAGGAACGTTTGTGACGAGCAGAGCGCCGTGGTGGAGCCTGCAGAGGAGGGAGAGGACCTGCTGCAGCAGATGTTAGAGAGGAGGTAGGAGGAGACACACACACACACACACACATACACACACACACACACACACGCTCTCCTACCTGTACAGGTAAGTGAAATTCAGATAGGGTGGACTTACTGATGACTTACATCAGATTAAAGATCACACTAAAATACTGCTCTGTTGTTATCGCTTGGAAGAGCCGCTGCATCGTATTTCACTTCCTTTTTTAAATTTGTTTTAATTTCATTAAAACTATTGACACCTTTTAAATCTTCCACACTGTAACAATAGTACAATAATATCAAGTGTAAACAGTATAATATACTATGTACTACTGTAATAAATGATATTATAAAAGTTAATACCATACTAACCTGAATATGGACTTTGTTTTGTCAGAGTTTCAAACACCTGTTTTCTGTCAGCGTCACAGGACGGTAACACTGTTGTTGTTCACATGCAGACACGCCCCCTACCCCAACCTGTACCCAGATCAGTCTCCCAGTGAGGAGTGGACCATGGAGGAGCGCTTCAGACCGCTCACCTTCCACGGCCTGATCCTGCGCTCCCAGCTGGTCAACCTGCTCATCAGAGGGGTCTGCTACGCCGAGAACCAGTCGGTCAGTCACGCACACACACACACGGGACGCTAAACTGATTTATATTCATTTCCTGGAGATTTACCTTCATCATAACCAGCCAAGACCTTACTCTTACCCCGACTCTTTAATCAAGTTTACAAGTGTTGGTCCTCCCACAATGACATCTAAACATTTTGATGGTGATTTTGAAAATTTCTATAAATGGTAGTCACAAAGTTTAAGTTGGTCCTTTTGGTCACAATAATCCAGCCCCTGAGGGAAGCGGTTCTTGGTTCCAGACCAGCAAAGTATTGGTGCCGCTCTCAAACCAGTGTTCAGGGCTGCAAGCTGGTTCTTTGGTGAAGAACTGGTTTGAGATTAGGCTCGAAAACCAGCCCTTGACCTGCCTTAGTGGAAAAAGGGGGGATTGGTGTCTCCATCTGCTGCAGGACTCCATAGTCGGGCTGTATGTTTGGAGTCTGGACCGATCAGACGGCTCCTGATGAATAAGAATCTAATCATGTAAACTGTACTGTACGTCCGACTGAACATCTCTCCACACCCTCCATCACAGAGCGCCACTCAGCCCAGGCTGTCCTTTGCCGAGATGACTGAAGATTACCCACGTTACCCTGACATCCACGACTTGGACCTCGCCCTGCTCAACCCCCGCATGATAGTGGTACGACCGATTCGAACTGTGAAATAAAAGCAGAAATTCAAAGATCAACAAGATTGATTGAGTTGATAAAAGCTGAAAATGATGTTCTCTGTGTTCGCAGGATGTCACCCCCTACATGAACCCATGTCCCTACACAGTGTCACCCAACACACGCATCTCCCAGGTGTTCAACCTGTTCAGGACCATGGGCCTGCGACACTTACCTGTGGTCAATGCTGTCGGAGAAGTAAGTACGGCTTTCAGTTCCTCCAGTACGCTCTGTTAAAGGCTGATACCCGGCGTTTAAGTCAGCGCTCCGGTCGGTCATGACACCAGCGAAAAGTAGAAGCTGTTATGTTTCAGTTGAACATGCAGCTCATATTGTTTAATTTTTGCCATCTCTTTCAGATTGTTGGAATAATCACAAGACATAATTTAACCCACGAGTTCCTTGTGGCCAAACTGCGGCAGCACTACATAACCGTGTGACCCGACTCAGGACGTCCTGCTGTCCTTCCAACCCAAACTCTGTGCCGCCTGGTCCTGAGCCTTCATCTCTGTCCATTCCTAACAGCATGTAGGCGTTCCCAAACACACGCAGGACACTCAACATCACACACACACACTCTCTCTGTGCTACAGCAGGGAACACACTTCTCCAGTGAGTGAAACCGTACCGTTGTCTTGCAGTGTCAGTGTTGAGGGATTGTCAGCCTTCCTCCAGCCTCAGATCCACTGGTTTCACTGGGAGGACTGGGCGTAATCTGTGTAATGGGACTGTATTTGACTTCACCATGTTGATGTGTCTGTAAAAAGTCACGGATAGATGGCTGATAATTCATCAACACTGTTCAGACTGTGTGCTACAGGACTGAGGGGTCGGATCTGGAAGCATTCAGCTTAAAGGGACCTATCGTGTGCTGGATGTCCATGACAAAATTAAGGTTTCAAATAAATGTATCGTATGTAAAAGTAAAGCTCAGCGTCTGTCAGCTCTGAACACCAGGTTTCGGAGGTTTCTCTGCTGCAGCGATGAACTGACGTCATCTCATCACTGATTTCTTCATGTAGTCGTCCGCTCCAAGCTCAGTTCGTTCCCCCACACCAGTCTGCTTGAGTATTATCATAGACGTTTAATGTGCTCATTTGGCCACAGCAGAATAACATTTTACTAACAACGTTAGCTTTGGTGTTTCCTGACAGCAGATGTTTTCCCCTTCAGTTTCATTTTAGCTAATTCCCCACACGTTCAATTACTAACAGGAGCCTATATAGAAACATTTTATAAACAGATTGAAAGACTAAATCTGATAAGGATGGATGGATCTGATAAGTTTTCATTAATTATGTTCTGTTGCTTAGTTTTAAAGTTTGCTTTCAGAGCCTCCACACCGGTAAGAGGATGAGGCTGCTCACAAGCGCCGGGTTCGGCCAATCAGAAGAAGGAGGCCTGAGCTAATATTTCCCGTTTGAATCATAGTGGACTCCCAGAATAAAAATATAGAGCTGAAAATGAGCATAATAGGTCTCTTTTAAAGCATTAGTAATCGCTTCAATTAATTTGGTGACTTCATCACATTAACTGATTTAACACGACTGAGGAAACCAGTGATAACACAGGTAGATCTTTTTCGTCAGATGAGTCGATAGCCTCGCTCGCAGCAGCCCACGCTGTATTTTGTTGATTGTGCCAACATGAAACATGATGTTCATAGAAGGATTCAAAAATAAGACCTGAAAAAAAGACAACAACAGCTTTGATGGCGATGGAAAAGATTTGTTCAGATTTGGTGTTGGTGCACGTCGCCTCCTGTTTCTGCTGGTTGGAGACACAACTGAACTATCAGAGCATTGTAGGCAGAATTCATAATGAGGAAGTCATTGTCCTACGGAGCCTGTTAGCTGCCAAACTACAGCCATGGGAAAAAATCAAACAGAAGAAAAAAGCTACAAAATGTTGTTTGGATGACACAGATATAACTTTACATTGAGTCTTGAAAAAGTAAACGAAAGAGCACATGTTTGTGGAGGTGACAGCTCCAGTGACCTGTGGATGGCGTTGCTCACAGTTTGAAGCCTGCGGTACAACAAACTACCAAAATCAAACTTTCCTCACTACCTTCAGGATCTTTCTTTTGACCTTTTGGATGATGTTCTGTCATTGTTGTCACTGTAGCACTTTTATTTACGACTGTTGTCTGTACATTTTAATTTTCTGTGTAAGTAACTGGAATATGCACTAAAGTTACGGCTCGTTCGCAGCTTAACTGGACTTCAGGACCGTGTCGGTTCATTCCGTGTAATGTAGGACACAGTAACATTTCTAACCACCTCGGCGGACAGTATAATTTGCACTTATGACATGTAGTAATATTTTCACTCAGTCAGCTCAGAGTTAGAAAGTGTCAGGGCTAAGAGGGCTGTGTCTCAGATTATGCTGACCAAGGTTTTGTTATGTAACAGGGAATTTAAAGTAAAACTGAGAAAATCCAGTTTTATTAAAAAACTAATGTCCAAACTATTTCATCAAACTGTTGTGATATTAGATTTGTAGCAGTATAGCATCTCTCTGGTCCATTGCCCTCATACAACACATTGTCATTCCTAAAAGGGACTAAAAAATGTGACCGGGAACAAAGGCAAGTAAAAGGAAGTGTTGTTGTACTTTTATTGATGGACATAGTTCACTGTATGTTAGGTTGATGGATTATTAGCAGCCACGACGGCACATATGTACATCGAACATCCCACGTTTGTTTCTTATCTCTTCTGTTTTATTTAAGAGATTATTTTTTTATACAATTTTATTTTTATGATTTGCTGCCTGTGCTGTGAATGATTCAGTGTCATGCAATTGTATTTCTAAATGCACGAGGCCGTCCTGGATACTATTATTGTTTATAGTCCAAGTGTTGCTCACTTGTTATTTTTATGTTGCCCAAACTACATACGGCAGAATATGAGATTAAGAGAAACGGTGGATAGTATGTCCTACTGTGAAGCCAGACCTGACAGACTGTGAAGGACTGTGAAGGACTGAAGGACTACTTCTTTGTGTGTCGTATGGCTACGTGGAGATTAGACAGCGGCCTGTGCTTGTTTAGGAATTTGTAGTTTCTACAGACGTAGAGAACTGGCACAAAAAGCTGCAGCCATGGAACAAAAACCAGAGAAACTCTGTCTCGTGCCTTTATTATTGTTTAAATAAAGGTCCTTCTGTTTTGTCAATCATACAAAGTGTTTCTGCGTGTTTGTTTTTTTCCAAGAGTAATGAGTAATGAGGCTATATGCTAATGCTAATGTGTTCACATGAGCTAAAAGGATTAGTTGATTAATTGATGTAATTGATGGAAAAAAAATCAACAAACAAAACGTTCAGGCTTCACATCATCAAACCTCGAACAAGATGAACGGGTAAATTTCTCTGCTGCTTTCTGTTGTGACGAGGACTTTACACCATATGAACAATACCAGCACCCTGCACTGAAGCAGCTACATGGAAACCAGCCATCAGTTTGTTTATGTACACCTGAGCTTTTTCCTCCTGTGACGTGACACAATGTCTGCTGTGTCAGTTATGAAGAAAACAGTACAGTGGGAGCTTGACAACACAACCACAACATGACAACAAAGTAGTTTTCCTTGAAGCTTGACATTTCATATATTATGTGCTGAGCACTGTGGGCCCAGACGGCGATGAATGACGGCGCCTGGAGTCTCACTGCAGCATGGACAGGTGCACAAGCATTTACCCCATAGACCGTAGTGGCCACTGACAGAGCTGGGACTAACAGCTTCCCCTAACAGGTGCAGTTCACCATTAACCAGTTCTGACAGCAGCGATGTGGAGTTGTAAAGAGATCACACCTGAAAATGTCTCAGTACCAGGAGAAAACAAACCGTGGAGCTTCACTTTTATCAGTGCCTTCATCTGGTTTTCTTGACAGTGAACGCTGCAGCACCAACATGGCTGTAGACCATCAAGTTTTGGTGACGGCACATATTTTCATATTAACTCCAGGAAGACATTCACAGTGTTGCACTCGGTTGAACATGTTAAAAATGCCACAAATAGTTGTGCAACAAATAAAAAAAAGAAAAAAGAAAAAGGGAGCTAGAGAGGGAAGGTCAAACCCTGCTTCCACACAGCTGACCAATCACAGCATGAAGTGGGTATGGATGTCTCAGATGATCTAACTCAAGAGCCATAATAAGTAACACAGGTGACATCAGTAACACCTACTGACCCATGGCAGCAAATAAAAAACAAAAAAAGAGGAAAACATGGCTCACGACTTGTGGCGTAGCTCTAGTCAGTTTTAGACATTTTAATGTGGAAAAGTTTCATATTATAACTTTAAAATGAAAACGTGGCAGTGTGGACGAAGCCCGAACACACACACAGCAGCACAAATTTAAACACACTGTGATGTTACTGGACAAATTTGCATCGTCACAAAAAAACAACAATGTTTTATTTGAATCCTGATGTAAAAATATTTGCTTGTCAATTTAAATTCAACTTATTTTGAACCAAAGTTTTCCTCTCCTCTCCAGCAGTGATCCTGAGAGAATGATGTGTTTGTGGCGCTTATATATCCAGCTGCAGAAACTGATCCTCAACATCATGATGAGGAATGATGATATTTACAAGAGGCTCTTGTCTGATTGGATGCCACACTGTCATTCACCTCTGTTAAATCCAGCCAGTAACGAAGCTTCACCTTTAACCTGTGGGCTAATTGAACCATGTTGTTTAACACATCACATGATGGCTGAGTAGATGTGTGAAGAGGTGAAAAGCAGATCTCTGTCATTATAGTGGATTAGCGAGAGAAGAGAAACAACACTTATACTGAATGTAATTGAAGGCAATCTGATGACAAATCACTGCTGCTGTAAGAAGAAACAAACACATCGTTTACTTCTCTGTGATGGTCACATCCTTTCTACACTTTATAATCATACACAGGAGTCAAGAACGGTCACTGTATCTCACCTCCCTCACAGTATCTCACTCATTTCCTTCATCGTCTCCTCTCTAGTTTCAATTCACAGTAATCCCACACACACGCTCTCTCTCTCTCTCTCTCTCACTCAAACTTTCGTCTCTTACAAGATCAGTCTTCATCTTCAGTTTTGTTCCCTGCAGAAGTTATTCCCAAACTGTCACAGTAACATACACTAATGACGATGCTTCCATATGTCTCAGTTTACAGTCATGTTAAGAAAACATTACATGTTAGTTCAGTTCAGTGTTCAATGATGAAAATGTTGGTATCATATTTTAAGCTTCACGGCATCTGACTGGCTGCAGCCTTGGGAGTATAGTATGCAGTGTATTTAATGATTGTTGCCTTCAGTCATGGAATTTATTTAATTGAAACAATAATTGATGCATACACACAAAAACCAGCCATTCTGTGAACTGTTTCAATACTATTTCAATATTTACTAATCAGTCAGTCTGGTGGCCTGATTAAGACGTCACAGCAAATGATGACACTGTGGGTGTTATAAATAGACTCTATGGATCAATTCACCAGAATTTGCACTTCTTTCTTGTCTTTCCTTTCTGTGCCATGCCAGATAAGTTGTGGCACACACTGAGTTTCATGCCTCTGGCCCCTCGAGTCCAGTCAGAGAAACTACATCGGAGGTGTGTGTTAGAGACACTTTGACTTATAAAAACACACTCAAACATTTAGAGAAACATGAGCTGATGTGAACCTCACAACAAAGATCTCAGAGGAGTTGATGAGCATGAAGCTGAAAAGGTTACAGAGTCATCTCAAAGTGTTTAGATCATCAGTCCACAGTCAGAAACAAACTGCCTATAAATGGAGATGATTCATTCTGTGGCTACTCTCCCTCGAAGTGGACGTCCAGATAAGATGACTCCAAAATCTCAACACAGATGATCAGTAACGTAACAAAGAAGATCAGAGTAACAGCTCAAGGCTTAAAGGAATCATTGGAGCTGGTTCACATCTCGACCACACACGGATCACGGATCACGGATCACGGATCACGGATAACGGAGCATGGACGCCACAGAGGAAGCTGCTGCTCTCCAAAAAACATCACTGACCTGAAGTTTGTCTATGAGCAGCTTGAATCTCCACAACACTACTGGGAAATGTTTTATGTGCTGATGAGACTAAAGTTGAACTGTAAGGTGTCATGGTTTTTTTCTTGATGGACACTTTATGTTTGGACATTTGTTTTATTTCCTGTTTTATTTTCAAGTAGATTCCCTTGTGTGTCTCATGTTAGTTTTACTTCCTGTCTTTGTCTTGTGTTTCCCTCCTTGGTGATTGGCTGCCCCGCCCTAATGTGTTTCACCTGTGATAAATCATCCTTGCCTTCCTTGTGTGTATTTAGTCCCTGTGCTCCCATTTCTTAGTTCCTGAGTTCTGGATCTTGTTTTTCTGGACTTCGGATTTCCTGTCACACCTGTATGGATTGTGTTTCTTTCGGCATCACAGTAAGACTTTTATGTTTTTCACTGTTTAAACAAACTTTGATGTTAAAATCTCACTCCTGACATAAGGCTGAACCGTGAAGATGGTCCTACCCATCGTTCTGCTCCTCTCTCCACAAAGAAAGACTCTTTGACTTGTGTGGCTTGAATTTGATCTTTGCCCGGGTGATCAGCTCATCCTGCCTCTTCAGGAGCGTGGGCATGCGCGGAGCAAGTAATGTCATCTGTAGAGCTCCTTATTGGAGGAAGCCATGCCATGCTTCAATCACGATGAATTCAAATGCTAGGAGATACTTCTGCTGCCTGCACAAAGCACCATGTGCATATGGTGGAAGTAGCTGATAACCACGGCCTTGATGTCATCTGAGATGTAGAGACAGGCTCAAAAGGCGAACTGACCCATACGCATTGGCCGGGTCTAGATATATAACCGTCTACCTCTCCTCAAATCATTGAGGAATCAGTAGAAACTGGTGATGAGCGGGACAATGACCCTAAATATCAAAGTAAATCTACTACAGAGCGACTTCAGACAAGGAAAACCCACCTTCTGGAGTGGTCGAGTCAGAGCCCAGACCTTGATCCAGTAGAGATGCTGAGGAGTGAACTGTAGAGAGCCGAACATCACACCAGACATCCTGAGAGTCTGTCTGAGCCGAAGCAGCTCTATAGGGAAGAATGGTCCAAACTTCCTCCTGAACAATGAGCAGCTCTGATCAGCAGCTACTGGAGGAGCTGGTTTCAGAGGAGGTTCAACCAGTTATTAAATCCAAGGTTCACTTAGTTTTTCCACCAGCACTGTGAAGGTTTAATGTTCCTGTTCAGCAAAGATTACAATTGTTTGTGTTATATTAATTTAGAGACACTGTGTTTGTCTACATCTGTGACTTGGATGAAGCTCAGATCACAATCTTTGAAAAGTTAAAGCAGAAACCAGGTCAGTCCAGAGGCTTCACTGACTTTTTCTTACCACTGTACTTTACTTACAGTGGTAACTCTCATTAGTATTGTTCAGTTCCAGTTTTCTCTTCTTTTGTTCTTTCCTCCCTCTATATATTATCTTTCTCTCTCCTCCCCCCCTTTCCCTCCCTCTCTCCACTTATGTCAGCCACACTCACTTGTCCTGAGGTGTGGAAGGTGCCTGAGATCATTAGGGGAAAATGACTCTTGTGTTGCATACCAACTCTGATAATAAAACTGTCACAAGGGGGGACAGCGTGATGACTGCAGCGCCGCAGTGATTAGGGAGAACAGGCTTTCTGTCTGACTCGCCACCTTCTCCGCGCTCCATTTGTTTGTCTTCTTTGCTTATATAATCTTTTTAATGATGCTAAATGAGAAACAACATGTTTGGATGTCTGGCGCTCCGGACTGCATCACTGTGGCTGTAACCTGGCTTCAACAAATGTGAGACACGAAAAAAACAGGTTAATCCATCATTTAATTTCTTCGGGAACATGTGCTGCACCCTTTGGCCTGTTTATGTTCATCGGACGCACAGCAGCCATCGGTCTGTTCCTCGCTGGCTGATGAAGATGCTGGAGAATCTCCTTTAGGAAACTGTATGATCCTCACCTCAGTATATTTATATTATGTTGCTCCTCCTTCAACACCCTTGGGTCCCTGAAGTGTGAATTATACAATGACAATCATGGGGGTCGACTCTTTCTCCAGGGTGGAAGGGAACCTTGCACAGAGCAGGCGCCTGCTTCTGTGAACCCCTCAATCCCCCTATAATTCAAACCCTGC